TTTTAGTGACACTAATTATGAACAAATCACTCATATTATTAACACCTATATTTTTTTATTTATTCATACTATACAATAAATATAAATCCGTGAGTGTTCTAATTAATACCACACATTAGGACTTCAATAAGTTACGGATTGGAGTCCTCTATAGTCGCTCAAGACATAAATTAAAATCAGGCCTTTCTCCTTTATACTACAAAATAAATCTTGTAATATTTAAATTTAATTAAGAATTTTGACCTATAAATAAATAAATGCTGCAAAGAAACCCAATTCAAAGATTTGGAACAATAATAAAAAGAAAACAAATAATATTCTGATTTTTTTTAATGAAGAATAAAATTCTGAAATTTTTTTTTTTGGCTTCTCAAGATTAATCTTATAGTTGCTTCCTAGCCTTGCCCCAAGACTACTACAATTTTTTTTTCAATGGAATTAAGGAGCTAAGCTCCACTCTATATAATTTCAGGTTTTTCATGGACTAAGTAAAACAATAATTAACATGGTGCAATCATGTGCCCCACTCTTAGGCACCTTGTTTTGCCTTCATAGATTGGCACTGCAACAAATTATTCAATGATTTTTTGAAGTTGGAAGGAACTTCTCTGTTTTCGGTGCTCATGGTCATGGAGAGAAGTTGTTTCCTCTTGTCAATCACCTTCTTGCTGGTGCTGCAGCTGCAGTACAGTTCTATAGGCACAGTAGGTGCAGCACAAACCAACATCACCAGGAACCAGTCTGCTCTTCTTGCTCTCAAATCCCATATCACTATTGACCCTCGCAACATCTCGTTTGCAATATTATTTTTTTTGGGTCAAACCTCCGTTTGCAATTGGGTTGGTGTTATTTATGGCACTCGCCACCTCAGAGTTTTAGTCTTTGTTAAATTTAATACACATTTGAAGAATTTAGAAATATCTCTAAAAAAGTAGAAAACTCTAGAAAAGTCCTAATAAAAATCTTGTAATAAGATAATATTATATTGTGAAGTAGTAGCTGTGAGAAGAAGCCAAGTCCACTGACTCGGACAATGGCGGCAGCCTTAATCTATAAATAGGTGTTGTCTCTTGTACAAGTGAGCTAAGAGAAAGAAGAGGCCAATAAGCCTAGTAAACAATTTCCTAGTTGTTGAAGGCGAATAAGCCTAGTCTTTTATGGGGTCGTTTGGCACGGTGGGCTGTTATGAACTAAACTAAATTCTGGGGCTATCTTGGATTAGCTCGGATTGGCCTAAGATGGATTAAGTACGGGCCTATATTTGGTGCTGCGTCGGACTAAGAAGCTGGATTGTAAAAATATTGAAGACCTATGTTTGGTGCTCTGTCGGACTAAATTTTTTTTTCTTATAATATTTAAATTTAATTGGGGTTTTTGACCTAAAAGATAAATAAATGCTACAAAGAAACCCAATTCAAAGATTTATAACAATATCTGCCCAAAAAAAAAAAAGATTTAAAACAATAATAAAAGGAAATAAAATAAAATTCTTTTATTCTTATTTTTATGAAGAATAAAATTATGAAATTTGTTTTTTGACTTCTCAAGATTAATCTGAGTTGATCGAAACATTGTTAAAGGGGCTAAGCTTACTCTATAATTCTAGGTTTTTCAGGGACTAAGTAAAACAATAATTAAAAAATATATATATGTATAATTTTTGTATATTTGACTTTTGACTTCAAATTGAAAAATATAATTTAACAAGGTAAAAATTGCTTGTGATAAAGAAAGCAGCACACCATGAATTATTAAACTTGTTTCAATATCAAAAGAATATCAGACATTTGTAAATTATTATAGTTTGATTTTCCAAATGCAATATCAAAATAATTCTTGTAAAATTTAAATTTAATTATGGATTTTGACCTAAAAAATAAATAAATGCTGCAAAAAAAAAAACCCCCAATTCAAAGATTTAAAGCAATAATAAAAAGACAACAAATAAAATTCTGATATTTTTCAAAGAGAGGCGTTGGACTCGCGTGTTCTATTTAGCGAACGTGCTATTTAGTGAACTACTTTTTAGGCTCACTATATTACACGAGCAAGTGAGATGTTTTCTTCACTATTGTACTACATAGCCTCATTTAAGTTAGTCTCATCTATTACTAAATATGGATTTTGAGTGCAATCTAACCCAGTCTAGTTCAGTAAGGCGTACTAAACATGGTCATGTAGAGCATATATGAATTTTGTGGCCCCCAAATTTGGGGCCCATGACTATCGCCCTGGGGGCGGGCCTAACTCACATGACTTCCTTGTAATCCATCTTACCTTCAGGCCCTGTGCAAACTTTCCATTCCTTCCATGTGACCACTTACAAATAATACAGGAGCGTTTTAGATAATTTCTTCTTCTTTATTTTTTCTTTCTATTTAAATTAAAGACTTAAACTATGAAGCGTGCCAACCCGTGAACATATAGATAAGAGCTAGTTTTGGAAGCCGAGCCAGTCCAAATAATATATCATTCATAATTCATTATTTTAGTTTCAAATTTAGCCTTACATAATATGATTAGCTAAACCCTAATTCTTATTTGGTGGCAAGAAGGTATTCGTGGCGCATCTGTCTGAGCAAGAATCTACACAGCCGCCCACTTTCTCAACATCTGCACGCGAAAGATAACTCATGTTATTTGGCCCCAAAAAAAAGAAAAAAAAAAACTCATGTTAAAAGAAGCAAAACAAATTAGGTCAAATTACAATTTTGACCCATGCAATTTATTTATTTTTTATGGTTTGATGACGTATGTTAGGTGGCTTTTTTTTTTTTGGCCACGTCATCAAACTGTCCAAAGAATAGGTAGACATATGAATTTGGCCTTACTGCTGACTAATTAATGTAAAACATTAGAGGTGTGGTTGTAATTGTTTGAACCAAAGTGGAAACTCTTCCAACTTCTATGAAAGAAAGGGGGCATTAGAATTCTCATTCTTTAATACGATAGGTTTTTATTTTATTTTTTCACTAAGCTCATATATTAGATTAGATTTTGATTTTCGTTAATAGGTATACGATTATAATTATACACGTAGATACATGCAACATGCAAACGAATGCATGTACATGAATGTATAATCTACTTAATTAACGAAAGACCAAAATCAAAATCTAATCTAACTTCAGGGGTTGATAACGAAATCATTTTACTCGATTATGACCTAAATGGAGGATGATTTGGGCTTGAAAATTATTTGTACCTGGGTTTTCTTGATCCAATAAACTGGCACACAAGGAAGAAGCACATCCAAGCTTGCAGAAGTAGTGATTGTTTTTGGGGACGCTATGTAAAGAAGGACTGTCGAATGCACATTCAGCTATGCATATAACGCCACATGCGGCAAGCCCAAAAAGACCTTTGCTTTTCTTACATTTATCCACGCAATTGCCGTAGCATCCTGGATTTTCAATAGCACTGCTCTGCGCCACCAGAAACCCTAACACCAAGTAACCCATCACTAAACACATAACTCTATTCTCCATTTTCTAACAAAGTTTTCTTATGCCTCTCTCTCTCTCTCTCTCTCTCTCTCTCTCTAGCTTTGCACAATAAAATCTATCAGAAAAATTATTCAAAACCTAGATAGCATGAGGATGCACTTCTTTACCCCTATTTATACAATTTGAGTTATATATATATATTTGTGAGGTCTTGCTAATATAGTGTACAATTCCACGTGAGTTGTTAGAGTTCAACTCTCGTCTTGCCTCTCTCTAGACTTTAAGCCTTCTTTCTCGAAAAGGAAGAAGAAGAAGTAGAGGAGTTCAGTTAAACACAAACATAAGAGGATGGTGTTAGTGTACGTGTATGGGATCATAAATGCATAAGTGAATGGTGTACATGTGGTTTGTTATGTTGGCTTATAAGTCAATGAGTGCGCTTGATTTGATAAGGCAATAATACGTGTGATTTTAGTGAGAAAAAAGAAAATATCAAATAAATTAGGACTAAGAAAAGAGTACTTCTCAGGATTGTCATACCATGCAAATATGATAACACGGTGAGTTTAGCAAATTTTGTTTATTTTACTAATAAGAGAATAGTTATTTAATATTGATTTTTTTTATTGGAAAGAGAAAAATCACTAAATAAAAAATAATTAGTGTAAGTCTAGCCAATGATTCAATGAACAATATATTTGTACATATTCGAAAATTTTGCCTCTATTGTTACACATACCAGTGTATGGAAAATATGGTTTGTGTTTGTATAAAATTTTAATGTCTCATCCGGTTATTATCGTAAGAATAGAAAGAAAAGAGAGAAAAAAAGATTGAGAAAATTTTTGTCTTTATTTTTTCTATTAGGTTGAATGAGTAGCACAAGTGTTGTTACAAATGTACTTATTTATATACATACTTGATGATGAAACAAAATGTACTTATATATTTAACTTCTGCCCTAAGATAGCAGACTGAGTCTTAACAAGGCTGCTTAACAATCTAACCAATCTTTGGTGACATGTAATCTTGACCAGTGTTGTCTACACATTTTCCGTGTGTTTGTGTGTGTTTTTTTTTAAATTAATTTGGGAGGAAGATTGCTTTTGCATCAATTAACATATGCTCTAGTAGCAAGTTTTTTTTTTTTTTTTTTAAATTTTAATTCGGAAAATGAAATTACAAAATTAAACCCCTAGCACAAGAAAATTCAATACCTTATAGGATTTAAGACAATTTTCATCTATGCATAAAGTACGATTGCATGCTCTTAGTTCAACTGTTTTTTTAACTTTTTAATCACTTTTATGGGAATTAATGTTATTAATGCAAATTATTTTCCGAACTATAACGTGTTCAAATGGAGAATTTTTTTGGTTTGACCGTCAAATCACTATGTGATATTATTAATCCATTTATATTATTGTATATGTATTTATTGATTAATACTAGACCTTTATCTCTGTGAAATATCAATCATTTCTACCTATAGTTTTTTCTACAATTCATTCCATCAAGATGTTAGTTTAGTCGCTCAACCACAAATTGCACGAGTAACACATAAGATTGTTCTTTTTTATTTCCAACTTAGCCTTACATCATATGGGCAGACTTCATACATTTGTGAAAGTATATATATATATATAATTAAGAAACCAAATCCTTCTTAGTTATGTGGTAAGGTACTACTTATGCTGCATTTCTCTGAGCAAGAATCCACACAGTCGCCCACTTCCCCCATCTCTGCGTGCAAAAGAGAACTCCAGTTAAAAGAAGTTAAATCCATAAAAGTAATAAACATACTAAAAAAGAGTAGCTAGCTACCTGGGTTTTCTGTATTGATCAAACTGGCACACATGGAAGAAGCACATCCAAGCTTACAAAAGTAGTGATCGTCTTTGGGTACACTGAGTAAAGAAGGGCTGCTGGCCAAGCATTGTGCTATGCAAGTGCCGGCGCACGTGATGGTGCCAAACACGCTACCTTTGACACACTTAGGGAGGCAGCTGGCGTAGCAGTCAGGATTGTCGACAGCAGTGGACCGCCCTATCAACGTGACCAACAACACCAAGGAAGCCATGGCTGCTCCCATATTCACTCCCTTCTTCTCCATTTTTTTTAGTTTAACCCTAGATCTCTATGTTCAACTCAAGCTCGTAATAAGAAGAAGAAGATGTCACAAATAATATAATTCAAACCTAAATAGCAGCTCTCTGGCTCTGGCTAGCTATAGCACTCCTACTTATAGAGATTGGTTTTTATTATTTTTTTATTATTTAGTTTTAGTTGAATAATGCGTAAGCCTTCGTATACGTATGTAAGCCCACATGCATTGTTATACATCTAGTGGTAATAGTACACAAGTGATCTGTACATGTAACATGTGGATTGTCGAAGATTAACCGTGACTCAGACATAAGTGAATGGTGTGCATGGGATGGTAAGTCAATGGGTGTGCCCCTCCCCAAATTAGATAGGCAATACTGAGCAAGCTTTAATTTAGTATACATAAATACGGGACAGAAAAAGTACGTGTGTTTTAGTCAAATAGTGATCATGATAAACTACAAGGACGTACGAGGAGAAGAGAAAGACTTTGAGAGCCTATTTAATTTGCATGTTAAAAGCTTGAGAAAGAAGGATTTGAGCATCCAATTCAAAATTAATTGACAATAAGTACGGAACCTAAAAGTTTGAAACTCTTACTCATGAAGGAGAAACCTCAAACCCTTGGGTGGACCCTGGGTATGCAATTTTCCTGTCTTTGGAATGCACTAGTTGCACTATTTAATGACTACATCATCCTAATTACAACTTAAAAATACCTCTTTTTATCTTAAAAATCTTGCCATTTCTTTATGATGGGTGGTGGGTATAGCCATCCAAAGAAAAACATTTGGGCTCCGTTTGGTTCACGGAATGAATATGAAGGGAAATCACTTCCCGTGTCATTTCCCAAGGAATTGGAATGAAAGATTCTTTTCCCACGTTTGATAATGTTGGGAAAGTAACCGGGAGATTTCACTTTGTTTCATTTCTTATGTTTGTTTTGAGTATGAATGGAAAATAAAGTTTGTATAATTTTCCAATTATACCCATATTAAATCAAATAAAAAAATGCATTTAATGAAACATTGTAATTATAAATTGTTCATAGGGACAAAATAGTCATGAAAATTGTGCATTGAATGTTGGCTCATTTCCCCAAATTTTCCCATGAGGAGGGAAAACAAAACCCAAGTTAAGAGGAAGGCTTCACTTTCCCACCTAATTTCCCATGTGCCAGACAACCATTTCCCATGCCTGGACTTACCAAACATGGGAAAGCAATTGAATTCTCATTCCCAAACCTTCTTTCCCATGAAACAAACGGGGCTTTGGACAAATTCAAAATTCTGTTTCTCAAGGATTTGTCATACCAGATGATGACGTGGTATGCCATAGAGCTACACAATTTTTTTGGCACGATGAGGTGGTATGACAAGGGCCTAAACATTTTTTTTCCCACAATATTGGGCTTAATTGGTTCAAGGATTGTATTATGAATCCGTTGTTCTTTCACCCACACAAAATTCAAGACAATAAAATTGCAAACACACTATAACAATCCATATGAGAGTAATATTTATCTTCCATATATTTTTATTTTAAAATTAGCTTACTATATCTTGGCAGAAACTTCACTCATTTGTGAAAGTATATATAACATCATAATTAATTAACCAAATCCCCCCTAATCCTTGTTCTAATTAGGTGGTAAGGTATTCATCATGGTGCATTTCTCTGAGCAAGACTCGGCACAGCCACCCACTTTCGCAATCTCTGCACGCAAAAGAGAACTCAGATGAATTGAAAGAAAGTTAAATAAATATGTGCAAAAGAGACCAGTGAAGGGCTTGAAACCCTAGAAGGACCATATACCTGGGTTTTCTCTAGTGATGAAACTGGCACACAAGGAAGAAGCACAACCAAGCTTGCAGAAGTAGTGATTGTCTTTTGGGACACTGCGTAATGAAGGACTTGCCGACATGCAGTTTGCGGCGCAAAAGCCGCTGCATATAACGGTCGCCAATGGGCCACCGTAGAGACAAGTGAGGCATTGGGCATAACACAGTGGATTCTCAATAGCTCTAGTACTGTTGGACTGCCCCAACACCAAGAAAGCGATGATCGCTAAAGACATCACTCCCTTCTTATCCATTTTTTGTCTATGGCTCACAACACAAGATATATCACAACCAATCAAACCTAAAATTTCTGTCCCTATTTATAAAGACTCGGTATGTTGAAGTATTTCAGGACTATTAAGGTAGTTTTATTGATTTCTTATGGACTTGAAAAAAATAGTCCCTTTCATTTTGAGGGACACTCTTGTAGGGTCATTCGTATTGTATTTCGATCATTCGAACCGTCTTTTTTTTAAGTATCCTTTCAAAGTTCATCTCTACAAAAAATCACTAGAATTCCATTTGACCACTCAATCATGAGCAAAACTACATACAAGACTACATTGGGCTACAACCCAGGTAGCTTTTTGAAGAATTAAATTTTTTAAAACCTATTGTAGCTCATGTAAGGTTTTTGAAGAAAAATAAAATTAAACCTATATAGCCCATTAACTTGCAGTTTCCACTTGTGGTTGGGGACCTCGTTATGTGGTCTTCTTGGCAGTTTCCCCATTATTTATATGAATATATCTTTTTAGACAAAAAAAAAAGAAGGTAAATAAACTCAATAATAGGGAAATATTATTTTTCTTAAGTCTATTTTGTGGTTATTTGGTGGTTTTCTCCTTTGTTTTTGTGTTAACCTTTTGTTGCATTTAATTTATATTAGTTATATGCTAAATTTATTGGAAATTAGTTCATAGGGCTATGAACTAGCGTGGGTTTACATAGTTTAATGTGTACTTTTATTTCTAGAAAATATATAGAAATTGTAAGTTAAAAATTATCATTAGATTTTAAGCTAAAAAGTTTAGCTAGCCCACTTGTCGAAAAATTCCTGGTTATGCTCTTACACTCAATATTAAATTGTTGTTATTTTATATTGTTTTCTTGAAGCATTGTGTTTGTATATTTTGTTGGTCACAACTAGATGTCTTAACAACTTTCAATTTGTCTTATTTTTTGCAAAAATGATCTATGAATGAATACTTGAAAAATAGATGGAATCATCTAAATAAACATTTGAAGAGTTATGACCTTTAAGATGTTTGAATCTTCAAGGATTGGGATAACTCAGTTTGGAGCCCTGGTTTCAGTCTCTCTTCCTGCAGGTTTGTATTCAGTTTTCGCCTTCTCCTTCTTCTTTAGGTCATGAGTATCGTGGGTTGCCCAAGATTGATCGACATACGAAAAAAAATCCAATGCTTTGTCTTAGATGTGCTCCTGATTTGATAGGCAAAAGTACTCAGTAAAGGTTTTGGTGCACATGTTGGTTGCGGAAGATTTATTCCTACTCCCACACCACAAGTGCATGGTCTTTTTTCTTTTTTCTTTTCTTTTCTTTTGGGTATGGCTGTGTTAGTCAAGAAGGCTAATTGTATCATAAGTAATTGGAGGGACTGTATGTACCTCAAGAATTAATAGGCCACTCTAAAACAGTCATATGAATTATGGGGTTCAATTCTGTTGAAAGTATCATCCTCGTATTCATGTGAGTTGAATTTTAAGTCTTTCTTCAATTAAGTGAAGACAACTACCACTTAGTGAGAGACATACGAGAAATATCCCAAAAATGGCCTCAACTAATTCATAAAAGATAAGCTAAAAGCCTAAAACTAAAAAGTAGAAACAAATTTAAATATTTTCTCACTTTTAGCTTTTATGTATTTATGTATTTTCCTTCACTTTTTATCTTTTTCAAGTAAAAAAGAAAAAAAAAATTCAAAACACAGCTACTTCATTTTAAAGCCACAAATACATAAAACAATAGTCTATTAAAATAAAAACAAAAACAAGAGTCTACGTCCAACAAAAATCATTTATAGATACCGATATATAAATAAATAAAAATTTAAAAACCTATTGTCATGTTGTGAGAATGCGTCAATTACATATATGTTAAATTTGAATTGTATGGTGGTAAGATCCATCGTAGATCTTCGTTGTAATTTTCTTTGTGTTCATAAATTTTTTATAAAAAAAAACACATGTTACTGCCTTGTTTGGCCTCTGCACAACAACAGCACAATCACACCGGAGGGCAGAAAGGGCTATGCCTATGGTAGAGGCAGTGAGCCAAACAATCCACAAGACACCATTCTGTCATCGAAATTCTTCCACGTTTTTGACATTGCAAGAAACACCTAGTCACGGCAATCACTACTGTGATCATCAAGATATGGAATTAGACGGTGATGATGAGATGGTTGAGACATTTGGGGCCTCCCAGTAACGAAAACCAAAATAAGAAAAAATATTGACACCACAAGAATTCTCATGGATTTAAAATAAGAAGAAAAAAAACACTAACTAAAATTGACCAATTGTGATTGCACTGGCACCGCCTTATTCCCCAAAGCAAGCAAAAGACCAGTGCAGAAGAATTGCCGAGCAAATCTCCTTTGGCATAAAGCACACTACAAGAATAATGCAAGGCTTTGCTCACTGAGGCTCAGCCGGAAGCATTTATAATTATAAGTGGCCACATGCCAGAGCAGACTTTGCCCTGTAATTGATCTAAGCACAACCAAAGTTGAAGGTTGCAGAGAGATGCACCGGAGAGACCCTTATTTATGCTAACCCAGAGGAAGCATATCCTAAGGATCCTAAGGCACAATGCTTTCGTTTGTTTGTTGAAAAGTACAACTTTATCCATAAATCCCGTCCCACTTTTTCATGGTACAAAACTTTAGCTGTACAGACTTCTTCATGAAGCTGATTTTAAAAAAAAATGTGACTCTAATTAATCAACTTCTCAGTGCTAATCAGTACCATAAATGAGAAATTAATTCACTAATTCGGTGTTGACTCGGGTTCTTGCTTAATTTCATCAACTAATGAGTCACTGTGGTTTAACAAACATGCAGTTTTACTAGCTTGCTAGGACGTGAAACAATATAAGCCAGTCATTGTTGAAAATCTTGAAAAGAAAATACGGAAAGCATTCTAAATATGTAAGAAGGAAGATTTAGAGCATGTTCTCAATCTATCTTTTTCTTCTACTTGGTAATGTCACCTTCATTGCTTTCAGGACCAACCAAATGGACCTAACAAAAGTTGATTTTGTTCGAGAAAAAACTCGAGGCTGCAATCATGAATTCAACTCATGTGATGGATACACACACACACACACACGTATATAGTTCTATTATTTATTTGCAGCAACATACTGATTCTTTTATTTTATTTTCCATAAAATTATATTATGATCACCAAGATCACACTCTTGGGAATTCAGACGATTACCCCAAAACCTTTATTTTGACAGTTGCATCTAAATTTCAGGACAAATCTATTAGCTAGGAAATTCAGACTCCTCAACGCGTGCGAGTTTTTAGGGTTTTATGTGGTTTTGGCAAAAACGTGTCATGATTTTAGAAAGCTGCAGCAGGATATCCCCCAGAACTCAAGTATATCCTTTAAGACTGTTAAAATTAATGCGCACTTGTGTCTTGAACAATATAGAATAATCTAGAAAAATTGAGAGAAGTTGACAAGTTAAAGTCGGTTTTACACTAGAAACATCCTACTAATTATATAATGTATTGTAACTAGATAACTCTAGATTTATAGGACAACTAGTGGCTGAAAACACTTTAGAAAGTCGGTTACTGTGCAACAACCGATGTGACTAGTTATTTGCCAACTTAGAGAGTTGGTTTAGCAACTCTATATATAAATATGCAAGCAGCCCACTTATGTAATCAAGCAAGAAAAGCTGAAAACTACAAGCTGCCCTGTATCCAAACTAAGTCTCTAAAGCTTTGTAACTTTCGTCCTCCATTCAAATAAAATTACCTCGTTACTCTTTCAAAAAGTTTTCTATTCCGCATCAAGCTATTGTCCTAAACCCTAAACTGCCAACCATTCTCTAAACCTCTTCTCCCTTAAACTAACAAAGACAAAACCTTGTGGGGAATAAAATTAAAGGCTGTCTTTAATTTGACTCCCTTTTAACCAATTCCTTGTGTAACATTTACACCAAAACACTAAATATGAATTGGACATCCAATATATATATGCATGTCAGAACTAATATATATTCTTAATTGTTTTATTTTTCAACTCTCATAATATTCTATTCGAATCGAAACCCAATCTCTGTTAGCTGAGCTTCTTTTCTGAGGGAAGAAATTAAGTAGAGGGAGGATCTGCAAAAGTAGAAAATTATGTCATATTATATGCGGAAGTTTGAGACTAACATTGACAATTGTTTGTTCTTTTTGCATCCCATTATTTCAACATATGCTTTTTTGTTGTCGCTGAATAGTACCCAATTGCCACAAGTCTAATGGACTGAGCCCTGGTTTCAGTCTCTCTTCCCGCAGATTTGTATTCAGTTTTCGCCTTCTCCTCCTTCTTTAGGTCATGCAAAGAGTATCGTGGGTTGCCCAAGATTGATCGACATACGAACAAATCCAATGCTTAGTCCTAGATGTGCTCCTGATTTGATAGGCAAAAGTAATGGGTAAAGGTTTTAGTGCATATGTTGGTTGCGGAAGATTTATTCCAACTCCCACACCACAAGTGCATGGTAATTTTTTATTTATTTCTTTATTTTTACAAAATAGTATAGCCGCGCGGCGTTACTATGATAATTTTTCTTTTAAAAAAAATAGTATATACTTGTTTTGACACGTGCGCAATCGCAAGGAGGGTCCTCTTTTTTTTTTTTTTCCTGTAAACCGTATAGCCGCCCGGCTATACCTGGCAGAAGTAAAATTTTAAGGTTAAACATCTGGAATTTTCCTCTACAGCCAATGCCCATGCTCTATATGTATTAAAGAGATTGTGAGAAGGATGGTGTTCAATGTCACTTCATGTGAAGCATCCAAAATCAAAAGTTTTGAGCCCTTATGAGAAGAAGCTGAAAAAATAAGGTAAATATAGACATTTATTCCAACCAATATGACATTAGAAATTTTTTTTTTTCTGATACAAAAGTGATAGTATTTTATTGACGAGTAGGAATGATAAAAATACAAAAACTAAACTAAGTCCTACAAAATTAGGCAAGCATCTCTACATTAATATGAAATATGACATAGAGCATGACACAACCGAACCCATCTATGAAATATGATTATCGTTTATTTTTAAAAAGAAAAATATAATGTTAAAAAAAAATTAAAAGAGAAAATATATATGTGTGTAATTTGG